AGGATTCTCAATTGTCTAGAGCTCACCTCCAGGCCAAGAGTCTGGCAGCAGCAGAAAGAGCAGTAGGAATGTGGGGTTTTCCTAGGAATTTTCAACTGAATTGCCTGTTGTAGAAAGGGGGAAATGTTTCTGACTACATCAACTGCAGAATCTTTTCAGTGACTATCTTGTAGGAGATCGGTTTTGTTACTTTATCTTTTAGTCCAGAGAAGTGTTCGTAAGTCAGTCGAATATTAACAAATGAGGTGAATCAGTCAAGTAGTGTTACAACTACGTATATCTGGGTTTCTCTGTGTGTGTGTGTGTTAAATCAAAACTCTTAAGTATTGTGAACTTTCTTCTCCTGCCACTAAGCATCCCTTCCCCAAAGAAAGGTGGAAAAAAAACCCCACCTAATTCAGAGTCATGTCAGTTATTTAAGCAAAAATCAGGTAGATAGTGGCATTCGTATTTTTGTGAAACATGTAAAGAGAATGAATACTTTGAGAGTGAGAGACTCCTTGCCTCTTCAAGGAAAACTTGATAAGGATATAAAGCTAGCTCACACCTAGAAAGTCTTGGAAGACTCAGAAAGGGTACAAAGGAAAATAGACATTTTCAGTGGCTTTGAATATTACCTGTGAGGATAGTAAACATGGTTATGTCATGTATGGGAAGGAGAACATACAGGGCAGCAGATACTGTGTGGTGTTTAAGTTAATGCTGCTTCTTTCAAGTAGAAGCAAACTCTTAGACCTGGATGGTCTGCATAATGTTGGAATACAGTGTTTGAGCTGGCTAATTATCTCAGAGTGGCTCTCCTCTGCTTCTCTGAGTGGCTGTTTAGTAATTCATTCTTAGATTTTGCTGCAAATTAAATTTGCCTCATTGCAAATGAGTTGCAAAAGATGAGGTATTGCATAACTGAACAGTGAAAAAATTGCTAATAAGATGAAGAGAAACAGCGTTTTAAGTATGCAGCATATGGAGGGCTGGAGGGTATCAAAATACAGTATTCTCAACCTTTTATTTTACTGCTAGTATTCTCTTAAAATAAAAATACTCTGTCTCTGAAATACATACTCAGAGCAAAACATTGTAGTGGCTCCTCTTTACAGCTTATGTCCACAGCAGTAAGGAGTGTGTTCAGTCATTATCATCTTAAGTAGCCCAGGTTTGGAAACCCCTGGCTTGTCCTGAATTGTTTGATAGCACCAGGAATGTACGAACATTCCTGAGCAGCTGATGAGTTGTGATGGCAGAGAAGACTTAACATCCCTCCCACCCTCTAGGGATGGGCCAGGTAGTGCTTTGGGTTTGAAGTACTGGCTATAGTGATGATCAGGCTCAGCTTATAACTGGAGGTAACAGTGTAGTAAAGACAACTGTTCAGCTTTCTCAGACTGGGCCTCAAAGGTTTTTCAGAGTTCCTATTGAAACTGCAGCTAATCCTAGTCTGAACTAAAAATAATATCCTGGTCTGTGAGATCTGTTTGCCATGTCCTACCCAGAATGTTTCGGGCATGCACTGAAGCGTACTGCACATGGATGTGCTAAATTAAAGTGAACTGTGTGGTCCAGTACTGCTCGTTGTAGAAAGGGACAGAAACAGAGCCTGGTGTCATCTTCAGTATGGTGATGTGTATGCTCTACACCTGATCCATTGCATATACCTAATCCCATAGGTGTGGTGGTGGGATATGGCTGAGGCACTGACATGGGAGCTGTGCTTCCATCTCCTTTTACAGCAGAACTGGAGGAGTATGGTTTGTCCTTTGTTGTTCTGGAAAATTCACGTATATGAATTTAAATTCAGCCCGCTGTTGCAGTCTAGAGAAAAGCTAACAGGTTCTTTAATCTTTGGAACTGGCTTTTGCACTGTATGCTTAGACCCATGTGCTGCCCTTAACCTGTGTGGACCCTGGACCCTTGTTTGCACTGTGAGTTTGTAGAAGGGCGCATGGGTCTTAGCGTCGAGGGCTTTTGGAAAAACAGCCGTATGCAATTGCAAATTTGTGTTTGAAGACTTAAAAATGTTTTCATACAGCTAGTAAAAAGATGTTGATTTAACAGTATGAACTTTTAACTTCGTGAAGACCTGAAGTCCACAATAGAATTCTGCAAACTGTATCACTAAATAGCTGCTGGCTTTCAAAGATTTTGTAATGTATTTGTAAGTCTGCAGAGTTAAAACAGGATTTATTTTTGCCTTAATTTTCTCTCAAACCTTTGTGCCTGTGGCTTTTGTGGTAACTAGAGAGCAGTGGCACTTAACACTAGGTGGCTGTCTAACAAGTGATTTCTTGATTCAAGGCTCCTAAAGCAAATCAGCACTGCCAGCATCACTTTATGTGTTTGTGTGTGTTAACTTTCTTGAAGTGAGAAAAGATGCTTTTCTGTAGCTGAAAGGGAAGTGAACTAGTGCCTAATTACGGAAAATGACAGCAGTATAATATGTGAGTAGTCACGGCTGCATGCCACTGCCCTGCTTCACAGAGGACAGAGGGAAACTACACCCTTGGGTGCGCTTGTTTCTCTTCGACTGAGAAGACTGGATTAAAAATAAAACCCAGACCTGAGACCCTTTCTTGTTGGCTGTCTCATATCATAATTTATGATGCATTAAAGCTCTCATATGTTTCATATTTGTTTGCATTTCTTTTTGCTTCTAGGCCACAAACCAGTGCTGTGCTTTCCTTACTGGAATACCAGAGACTGTTGTCAGAAGTAGGTCCTTCAAAGAGCTGGCCCGCAGCACACACTCACAGGACATGAGCAGTGTGTTTCTGGTGCTCCTTGAGATCATTGCATTGTTGTTATGTGCTGCTTGTGAGCTCAGGCCCTATTGTGTCTGCAGCTGTACATTTGGTGTCTTCCCTGGGGCCTTACAGCAGGAGTGTAAGGAGAGGCAGTTGATGATTTTGGTACCCAGCGGATGAACTTTTGTCCCTTCAGCATGAAGAATTGCTAGGACAGGGCTTGCTATGACATTTTTTTCTGAACTCGTCATTCAGTCTTCGTGTCAGGTCTTTTACAGAGGTGATAGCTAAAGGAAGCCTAGAAACTACTGTTTCTTAAGTAAGGTTGAAAACAAGTTCTTTTACTGAAGCTTGTTAAGGGACTTTGTACAGCTTGGCCAGACACAAACACCTAGAAATGCTCTGAACCCTCTCCTCAGGTACAGCGGAGCTCTGACCATATGATTTGGGATGCAGCAGGAGAGATGCCTGATTTGGGATGCAGCAGGAGAGATGCCTGATTTGGGATGTAGCAGGAGGCTGTGATTTCCCCTGAGACAGAACTTAGAACAGCCCCAGGGCTGCTTCTGGCTGGACCAGCTGCAACTGTCCCTTGGGATCAGTGCTGCTGGGTTGCAGCAGAGCTGTATGCTGCTCCCATTTCTCTTCTTGCCTCGTGCATTTCTGATTTGGAGCTCATAGTTGAAGGGTAGACTTGACTTCACTGGCTGTCATCTTGGAATTTTCCTATATGGCAGGAATTGTAGCCTTCCAGCTGGCATCAGCTACTTACTCTGTCCCTGTACCCTTGCTCTTTGCATTTTTAAAGAACTGGCACCAACAGCACCTCCTCCAGTCTGGGGAGACCTTGCGATACTGATTTGAGGGTAGATGAACACAAGGAAACCATCTGTGTTTGAAACCATAGGGTATTTGAAGCGGGATAGATTTGTTAAGTGTGATGGTAGTGCCTTCTCATTTCTGAGAATAGTGGGTGGGACATGGGCTGGAGGTTACATGGAGAAGGGCAGACTTGTCAAACCTCTAGTGTCCTGTGAGGTTTGCTTACATTTCTTTTGCTTCTAATTATCTCCTGCATTTGCAGTGAACTGCCACAGCCTCCTTCCAGCTCTGTGAGCCCATGAGATGAGCACAACTGGTCAGTTCTCTCTGAATCCCGACTGCTTCTAGTGGGGAGACAGAGCAGTGGTGCTGGGTCTGCACCTAGGCTTTTGGCAGAATTTCAAATTTGAAAAACCATGACAGTCTGGCGACAGAACCTCTTTCCCACCACCTTCCCAGTTGAAGGATCATGCACGTGGCCCAGACAGTGGTTGAGAAATTGGAGTGCAAGGCTGGGGAGGATGGTGACAGTGGCTTTTGAGCTGTCTGTGGCTAATACATCAGTGATGAGTACTTGCTATCTCTAAAACATTACATAGTGAACTGACATGAATTGACATCTGAGCTAGATTAACTCATCAGTGAATCCTCTCATGCTTCCCTTTAAAGTTGTGTTTTAATAATTGTATCTTTAAACTTTTTTTCACTGAAGATGTGATCTGAGCTGTGTACCAGAGTTTAGCTAATTTTCCTCACAGCTACACTTCTATCCACCTCCCATTCTCCTTGCCCCATGGAAAAGTTTTTGTCTAGTTTGGAAGCCCCTGGGCTCGGGCATTTTCTCACATGCATTTTGGCAAGCTCAGAAGCAGGCTGGAGGCAGAAAGGCGGGTGTAGGGCTGCAGCCTGTCCAGCCTGATTAGGCCAAGCAGGCAGGAAATAGAAACATAGTATTGACCAACTGAGAGAGGTGTATCTGTGGGTACTTCCTGTTTAGCTATTTTCCAGAGTTTTACCACTGTAGATTCATCATCCTTTAGTAGGACAGCATGTGTGACAGTGTTGACGGGTGCCTGTGGAAAATGGGCAGATTTGGTATGGCATATGTGGAAAGAGGGTGTGCTTTTGAGTAGGGAGTTTGAAATCCCAGGAATTGCCATTGTGCAGGGATTTTTTTCTCCATCTTGTATCCTATGAAATGAAGGAGGAAGTGGACTTATTAAAAAAAAAAAGTAAGTTTGAATTAAACTCCCAAAGTATTTGGGTGACTTACAGACATTAACCTTCTTTGGGGGTTGCTGAGACTTCAGTGCTCAGCTGTAAGTACATGTTTGCTAGTCTGCCTGTCTGTCATCTTTAACTCCTGACTTACCACTGTATGAGAATTCAGCCCCTTGATTAACTTCTACCTTGTTTGTTTGGTTTTTTTTCCTTTTTCAGACAAGTGAGAGAGAGGCTAAAGCAGCAAGTTGTTGAGATGAGAGAGAAATTTCCAGGCTTCAGACCAGGACTTGCGATTTTGCAGGTATTGTTTTCTTTAATGACAACTACAGAAAATCTGTATTGCTTTGCAATGGTAAGCGCACAGCTTATGAACTTCTTCAAAGTTGCCTTGCAATGGCAACATTGAAAAGGAATGGAAGAGCAGAGTTCCCTGAGGGATAGTAACACAATTCTGAGATGTCTTTTCCCAAGTACTGGGGCCCAGAAACATTTCGGGGTTTTTGGCCTGTTTTTTCTTTTAATAAATATTTATTAAATATTTTCTTTTATTATTATATTTTCTTTTATTATTATTGAGCATGTGTGTTTGTGGAATGGTGAAAGTAGGCTTCTTGCCTATTAAGAAGAAGCAGTGCTCGTAGACTCTATTCCAAGTCTTTGCATTTCTGTGAGCCACAAAGCCTGTCAGCTTTCAGAGATGTGTTTGTACCAGAAATCTTTGAAATGTATTTATTACAGGATTTGATATGCTGTTACATCAGAACATGGAGAGACAAGGGGGTGGGGGGAACCAACCAAACCCACCTTTGGCCAAGAAGACTTTAAGTGTGGGGGATGGAGCAAAATCCCGTTTCTGAATTTGATGTCCATCAGAAGTGTAAGTGCTAGAGTCCACACAGAAACACTTGCGGAGAAAAAAGATGCTTCTCAGTACAGGGATTTGGCCCATGTTTGGCAGAATTAAGGTGATTTGTTTGGGGTTTTTTTTTCCTTGTAGCTATAAAAATTGGAAATTCTTTACGCTTAGATCAGGTGGTGACTAGCAGTAGCAAGTGTCATGTAAAAGGAAGGAACTGTGGAAGGAACAAAGCATTGATGGCTGCTTAGAGAAGTGTCTTCTGTCCTTATTCAGTATTGTGGGCTCCTGAAGAGCTCTTGATGCCTGTCTCTGGAGTCCAGTGTGAAGACCACTATAGTACACAAAGACAATGCTCCTTTTCAATGCCAGGAACAAATTTGTTTGGGGTTTTCCTGCTTTTCTTTTACATTAGTTTTAAGACGATCATCTCTACAGAAAACTTGTCATCAGGTGTTCAGAAGAAAGGAGGAAAGTCTTTTATTTAAAATTTAGTAAGGGATGCTTTGATGGTAGTTGCTGAACTGATGACCTTGTAACTGTCATAAAAAATGGATGTCTTGTAATGTTGTTGGATTTTTTTTCTTGGTTGGCCTATGTTCTCTTCAATCTTGGGCTGTCTCAGAGTCCTTTACAACCTCTTTGCCCTTTGGCTTTCTGACATTTTTGTAAGCTACCCAACAGTCTGGGCTTGACATTCATCTCCTAATAAAGATATTCTCAGCTGTCCAATTTTCAGTTAAGTTAGGACAATTAGCTGTTTCTGGTATGTAGTGCCTCACACATAGAATCATAGAATAGTTAGGGTTGGAAAGGACCTTAAGATCATCTAGTTCCACCCCCCCTGCCATGAGCAGGGACACCACACACTAAGCTCTTTTCTTGAGAGATATCTGGTGTCCTCTGAGCTCAAAGAATTTTTTTGTCCATAGTCAGGCATGTCCTCTTTCACACAATATGTATGGTCTGTTTGCTGACGTCTCATGCCTGCACTCTTCCTTCTTTTCTGCCCTGAGGCATACCTTTTCCTAAACCTAATAGACTTTAAAGGGGATATAGCCCCTTTGTCTAACCCTTGGGAAGAAGAACCAGTGTAGTCTGAGTGATCAGGTAATGCAGTCACCCCTGCAGTTTGTAATCTGTGTGAGAACCAGGGATAGTTCCCAAGTACCGGGGGATGGGGTTTCAAGAGTTTGCTTATCAGCTTTTCTTTATTTGCCTCTCACTTTCATACGGTTACAAGCAATATTACTTTAACAAAACATACTGAATGATACAAGCAGTCTTCTGAAATGCAGCTTTACTGTAAGCAGTACTGTAACCCAGCACTGTCAAAAACTACAGGCATTTGCTCCACTTGCTGCTTTCTCTTTGTGCATTGCTTTGTTCTTGTTTTTGTTGAGTTTTGTTTGGCATGAAAATTCTCAAAGTTCAAAACAGTAGTGGAAGAAATCTCTTCATAAAGGCACATGTATGTGCATAAAATTAAGTTTCCTGGATATCAAAGAGACACAACTTTTCTGAAAGCCTTAATCCAATAATTGAATGTTATCAGCATCTGCTGATCATGTTAATTAGCTAGAGATTTAACTTTGTGGATGAAATGGCAGGCAGTATTTTCTGCTTTGGAGAACACTGTGTTTCTAAGGTTTTTCAACAGGAATAAATGGTGTTTATGAAGGAGATCGGAACTCTCTCCTGTTAGCTCCAGATGCTCAAAGACTCTACCAGTGTGTTTTACACTTATTCAAGAATACCTCTGTCGTCTTGGTGTAGCTCAAAGGAAGCTAAGGGTTAAGCCCATCTCAGCCTGCAACTGGGTCTGTATTCTGCAATGTGACTCAACTGTCTTCTCATCCTTAGGTTGGAAATCGGGATGATTCAAACCTCTACATTAATATGAAGCTGAAGGCTGCCGCTGAGGTAATGCCCAAACTCTTAATATTTCTTTTTACCCTCCCACAGTAGGTCAAATCTCAATATGAAAAAACAGATGTAAATCAAATAGTTTTGTCTAAGCTTTGCCTGTATTGGAGAAACCAGCGTTGGCCTGAATTCTTTGTTGTAAGGAAGTAGTTTAGGTGTGTAACCTGACGTGTAGCTAAGTGGAGTACTCTGGTAACAACAGTGCGGGCTGGTGCCACTTCTTGTGTGATCGTCTCCTAGATTACATGTGTCTGAAGTGCTGATGCTCTGTCTTTCCTGACCTGTTACCCTGTGCTTATCTTTCCTGAATGTCTTGTAGCTGGAGTTGCCTTGCATCTGTCACCAAGTAGTATATTACATGCTACAGCAAGGCTGGGAACGTAGATGAGTTCCTGTTTCCCTGGGTGATATCTTGCATCTTCTCTGCTGGCATTTCAAGGCAGTGTGCTGTCAAGCTAAGATTATGTTCATGTCGAAAGGTGAACAGGACAGTTGAAGCATGGACCAGTCTAACCAGGCAAAGCACTAATCTTTATTCTTTCATTGGTGGTATTTCTAAATAATAGGACTGTAGCCACAGGAACAGGAGAGACCCAGAAAATGTGACAGAATGTAGCCTGTGACTGGGCTGGACTGGGAGAATAGCCAGGTCAATCCCTGATGTCAATTCAGAAATCAGATAATTTGTTGGTATTCTCATTTGCAGATTGGGATCAGTGCGAATCACATAAAACTGCCAAACACAGCAACAGAAGCTGACGTAAGTAGTTAGAGCCAGTAATGAAAAAATACGTAACATTGGTGTTGAGCTCAATAGGTGAACTTACATTTGTCCTCTTATTTCATATAAAAAAAACTACTTGCCTGTAGATATTAACAAATAATAAAAAAACCCTGCAACCTGCTGAGGTTTTTGGTGTGGGTTTGTTTTTTTTTTTTAATTATTACTATTTTATATTTTTATAATTAAAACACTACAATGTAAAATTTAGAGACTTTAACAGGTATTTTTCTAAAAATAAAAAATGGGAGTCATTATATTTTTGGGTGGAAAAACTAAACATCTTGTGTGTATCTTTTAATCCAGATAGGATTATGTTTCTTTCTTTACATCAGTCATATTTCAGTTTATCGGCCATTAGGTTTTTGGTCTTTACTTGTAGGTCCTCAAGTGCATTGCCTCTTTGAATGGAGACCCTGCTGTTCATGGCTTTATAGTGCAGCTGCCACTTGACTCTGATAAACCCATCAATACAGAAAAAATAACCAATGCTGTTGCACCTGAGAAGGATGTAGATGGGTAAACTGACTTCACCTCTGGAGAGCATGACAGCCGCTCCAGAAAGAAACCTTTTTTTCCCCTTTGAATAGTGATCATGAGGCTGGGAATCTTATTTGACCTTTATTCTTTCAAAATACAGCTTAAGTAGCATCAATGCTGGGAAACTCTCCAGAGGGGACCTTGGAGACTGCTTTATTCCCTGTACACCAAAAGGATGCATGGAACTTATCAGGCAGACAGGTAAGGAGGTTTCCATACATTATTCATGAGTGCAGTAGTGTTCAGTAAGAGGATAAATTATGCACATTGCAAGGCTGTGCTTCACATCAAAACTTTTGTTGAGATGCCACATTTCATCTCTGCCTTTTCAGATAGTAAAAGAACTGGTTTTAAAATGGCCCTTCCTTCCTCCCTCACAACACCAATTCCCTATCCTGCAAAACCGAGAAGGAAAATAGATCCTTGTCCTGGGTTCAGTTGTAACAGTTATTTTTCTCCTTCTTAGTAGCTGGTGCAGTGCTGTGTTTTTGACTTTAGTCTGAGAACAATGTTGATAACACACCGATGTTTTAGTTGTTGCTAAGTAATGCTTACCCTGATCAAGGACTTTTCAGTCTCTCATGTTCTGCCAGTGAGGAGGGGCACAAGAAGCCGGGAGGGAGCAGAGACAAGACCCCTGGCCCAAACTGGCCAAAGGGATATTCCATACCACAGCACGTCATGCTCAGTACATAAACTGTGGGGAATCACGTGGAAGGCCAGATCGCTGCTTGGTTTGGGGTGGGTATTGGTCAGCGGGTGGTGAGCAATTGTACTGTGCATCACTGCTGTTTATTGTTTGTTTGTTTGTTTTCCTTTCCCCTTTCAGTTTTATATTATCTCACCATGTTATTTCCCTTATGATTATTGGTATTAGTGGTAGCAGTAGTAGTTTTGCATTATACTTCAGTTACTGGACTGTTCTTATCTCAACCTGTGAGATTTATATTCTTTCAATTCTCCTCCCCATCCCTCCAGAAGCTGGGGGGGAGGAAGGGAAGAAGGTGGGGAGTGAGTGGCTGCGTGGTTCTCAGTTACCAGCTGGACTTAAACCATGACTATCTTGAAGAACCAGAGCCAGACTTAAACTGACTAAAAGACTCCAGAGCTGTTTGGGTTAGTTTGTACTAGGATGAACAATGACCTATTTTTACTTTCTGTGGTGCAGGCATCCAGGTTGCAGGGAAAAGGGCTGTAGTGGTTGGTCGCAGTAAGATTGTTGGTGCTCCCATGCACGACCTGCTGCTCTGGAATCACGCAACCGTAACCACTTGCCATTCAAAGACCTCAACACTGGCTGATGAGGTAAGGACGGGCTGGATGCACGAGTCTGTAGTTACCTGCTGCAAGCCAGTGCTACCTGCACATCCCTGCTTGGTGTGTTGCTACTGAGTCATTTTTCTGCCTCGTCTTCCATCTGAATCAGTTTGCCAGTTCTGTTCATTGCATGGCTGTGTGAATACTTCCACTGGAATAGGATCCTGATTATTTTTGGCCCTTAATTAGAGGTTTTTAATTATAACAATACGATTATTATTTTGGTTTTCTTTGGGCAAGTGCTGAGAATTTAATCATCCCTTCCTCCATGTAGTGGCCTGAAAGACAACATGTTTTGTTTTGGGGTTTTTGGGTTTTTTCTTCCCAAAAAGGCCAGGTGTTCTTTTGCTCTAATGGCTGGAAAATGCTTTCTCCAGGGTTTGGGGTTTTTTTTGGTTTTTTTTTTCTTCCAGTCTATTTTCTATAACTGTGAGTTGGTACCATTTTCCTCTCTAGCAGTGAGAATGACAGAAATAGTGTGTTGCTGTGCTGCCACCTACTTGGATTTCATAGAGCAATCAACACTGCCAGGCTCTGTAGGCAAGTATTAAAGCTGAAAAGGGGGTAGGTGTATTTGAATATAACTCACAAAGAAGATCAGAAATGCTGCAGTGCTTCATGCCACTAAGTTGCTGTTCAGTAAGACTGTCATTAGGTTGATTAACAATTGAAGTGCTAATTCTTAATGAAATCTTAAAAATAGTTTATCTACCTTGAAGATCAAAAGAAAAACTTCCAAGGGATATCAACTTCCTAAGCAAACATGAATGAAGCAGTACAGGAACTGACAAAGAGCTGTAGTCAGTGTCTTCAGCACCAGCTTTGTGACCAGATCTGTCAAATTTACTGAGTACTGTCTGAACAGATCTTAGTGCTGAATTACAGTCAGCTTTTCCTGGAGTTGTGTGTTACATGGTCCTGGACGTAAAAACCTCAAGACAGTGCTGCCACAAGTGAAGTGACGCTTCGTGTTCACTTGAGGGTGAACATGCAGGGGTTGTTCTTGGCGGCTGTCCAATGAGTGCTGGTTATATTTCTAGCATTGAAAAAAGCAACTAAATATGCAGGATATTTGAAGGGAGGAAGATAAGAATATGCGGAAGGCTTTAATTTTATCTAAAAGTAGTCTTTTATGATCCACTTGGGAATCATGGAGGAGTTCTAAGGAGGTTGTGAAGCATTGACTAGCAATAGTTCAGGGTAGGGTTGTGAATATAGGCCATAATTTCTGATCACAGGAATTTGTCCTTGCCAAGGAACTACTAGCTACCCTTATTTGCTGACGATGCCCTTTCATCTCTCCAATGGCAATGAGTGAGCACAGAGTTTCACTGCAATTGAAGCTGCTGAAGCAGCTCTGCATTTTTCCACTGTCAGTGTGATACAAAGTTGTTTGCCTTTTTTTTTTTTTTTTTTTTTTTTTTTTTTTGTTAGAAAATTTTTTGTTTTTTTTTTTTTTTTTTTTTTTTTTTTTTATATAGGTTGGTAAAGCTGATATCCTGGTGGTTGCAGCTGGTAAAGCTGAAATGGTGAAAGGTGAATGGATCAAACCTGGTGCAATTGTAATTGACTGTGGAATTAACCATGTGCCGGGTGCGTGGGTAATGTATGAAGAGTGGGAATGTGTTTATTTGTATATAAATGCAGTTGCTAAGTAAGTACATGGATACTGTTTCCTTGGTGTTTCTAGTCGATATGGACTTCTTTCTCTTTTAAGTCTGTCTTAAGTAATGGTGGCAACCCCTGAAGAGGTGAATGTAAAAAAAAAGGTTGGTCTGAATTACTGTCCTAAAGCAGATCAGTGGCAGTTTTATTTCTGCCTTCCATGATGCTGATGATTAGTAAAGGAAGGAGGAGGCCTAGGAGATACTGCGAAAGAATATCCATGTAATTTGCCCCAGCTCGTAGTGAAGTCTTGCTGCTGTTGTCACTTGTGAGCACACAGCTTTGCTGTCATTACTTTGCAGTTAGATCTGATAAGCTGTTCTATTTGAAATACGTAAATGGCAAGCAAGTAGCTGAGGATTTGTTGAGTCACAACGTTAACTTCTTAGGCTTGAATGGCTGTTGTCTTGAAACAAAGCAGCTTCTGCAAGAGTATTGGTGACAGTGGCTCTGGCACAGAACGAAGTGCTTTAACATAATGGATTTTAGGGTAGGGTTTCACTTAGCTACTCCTTCCTTGTAAAGAAGGAACAGGCAGTCTGGCAATTTCTGTTTTCATCTCATTTTAAATCCAAATTACAGATATTGAATGATATGGAAAATTAGTCACCATCCAACTATCTCCGTACTACACCCACATGGCTTTTAGAAGGTAGTTTTCATAATTAATCAGTCATTTTGTTGCCATTATTTAATGGAATATAAAGAAATTTCTGTTCAGAAGTCTTGTTCCTCAAAGATGACATTGAGTTGCATTTAAAAACATTAGTCTTCTGTCTAATTAAAAAGTCATGTGCTGCTGCTGTTTGATGTTTGATGTATTTGTGCCAGGCTACCCAAACTTAGGCAGTTTGCCAAAACCCATAGGGTCACTACTTATCTGCATGAGACAGAATGGCTTGGAGTTTCCCCCTTTAACATGTTGCAAATTAAACTACCATTGTCTTTCTGACATATGGTATGACCTTTTTTTTTTTTCAGGCTTGATGTGAACCGAATCTCTGAGGACACATCCCTGATTCTTGCAATTAGTCTGCCTTGGGCAGTGCACTGAGTTCTGAACCTAGTCAGTGTTGCGTGGCAATATGCTTAATGACATTGGTAGTCAGGTACTTGATAGAGTACCATGGAAATAGTGAGGTTTCAGAATGATGGATGCCATGGACTACTTTTTCTGCAGTTTTCTCAGCTGCTACGTTTTCCTGCCACTTTCTTGCCTTCTGATAGGTTGTGAAAAAGTTTTCAGATTAATTTTTTGGGAAATCAGTGCCAGAATTGTGGGAATTGTAATGCTACAGAAAGAACGGTAGCTAGTTTGCCAGCTTTTCCAGCTACATCTCTGTATAGATAGAATATTGCTGCTAGCTGTGATGGTGCTTTGAATGGACTGGGGGGAAAAATAAAACAGTTCCAATACATCTTATATTGGCTGTAAGTGCCTCTAGCTAGGTGTCTCCTAGATGTAGATGTGAGTTGCAGCTGAAGGACATGGCAATCTCTGAATATACCTATACTTGTCAATTTGTGGTGCCCTGTCAGGCAAATCCCAGTATGATTTGACATAGTAGGACATTGACTTCATGCAGGCTTGCCAAGTTGGAGTTAGCCACATAATGCCATGCAGATGCATCTGTTGTGCTTTTGTATGGAGGGTGGCCTGTATACTCCCAAGGCTGCCGGGTTGGAGGCTATAGTAGGTAATTTAGGCACATCTGGTTTTGTATTCATGTACTACAACTGAACAGAATTCCTTCCAGGTCGCCAGCTAGAGAGAGAGGAAGGAGGATCTTCTGAAATCTCTGTTAGAGCAGACAAGTGTGTCTTATTCCCTTTCCAAACTGGATTGTATTTGTCTTTCCCACTGCTGCAGTGAGAGAGCTAGTCCAACAGAAAATTTAAATGCCTTAATTCCAGACCTGTAGAAATTGCTCTCCTTCAAGAAGGAAGAGCAGCGCAGGCAGAGGGTATTCCCAGAGATGGCATAGTCTCTGGAGTGTCTCTGTCCCAAGTCCTGATGGAGAAAGCAACCTAGTTCAGAGTCCTCTATTGTGGGTTTTTTCAGCCCTAGCCAACAGGGAACCTTGAACAGTGGGATATAAGAGCAGCAAAGGAGTTTCAGCCTCTGTGTGTCTTGGTGCCGTGCTCTTTAAACACCAGAAGAGCTAGAAAGATATAGAAAGCCTTGACTTGATGCTCTGTTTATATCTTCATGTACTGGGAATCAAGCTGGCATCATAGGCCTGTAAGGTCAGATTGTGTTGGATCCCTCATGAAACACCTTTTCCCAGTGATGTACAGAAAAAGAAACAGACTGGAAGCAGGTGGTCTAATGTTTTAGAGATGAGGGTCATGTATGGCCTTGTGTGTTTGCAGTCGTATATCCATCAGAAAGTTGTTAGAGTTGTATGTACATTGGCACAAGTTTGCTTGGAAGTCATGCAAATATTCCCAGCCCTTGTCTGGTGAAAGTAGGACTCTGAATTTGCTTCAGTTCAGAAGCTGCACTCAGGGTGTCTCATGCAGCTGTCTCTGGAGGTAGATGGAGATAATCATACCTGTTCATTCCATATATGTAGGTATGCCCTTCATTTCTTTGATCTCAGAGTCCTCAGGTGCTCTCTCATGTGTTCCAGCTGGCTACAGAACCTATGGGACTAAAGACGACACAGGCATTGGGAACAGTTATAGTGTCACTGATATTCTCTGTAACTGGTTTGGGGTTTTTTTTAAGTGTGGGATGATGACTATTGAGAAGGTACAATTATGGGGAGAGGCAGGAAGTATTGTATGTGAGCTTCCTTCAAAGACTAGTATTTTAAAGCTAATTGAATAGCTTCTAAGTTGAGCTCAGCAGTGCTTGGTGTGAGGAGCAGAGGCAGGGACTGGCAGTCTGTTTAGCTTGTGATCATCACTGTGTCTGTGTAACAAATTAGACTATTCGTGTTTGGTGTGCCTACTTGTTTTCATCATTCTTGGGCCTGGAGTCTTCCTGGCCAGGGTGGTAGGTAAGCCTGCTTGGTGTCCTTGGAAGAAACTATGATTATGTGTACTTGCCTTTTGCAATCTTAATTAAACTGGTCTCTAGGCTGTAGGGCCAGATAGGTCTGCAGTTCAGGCAACAAAGCTGACAGTGGCTGTAGAAACACTGTTTTAACAGCTGTGATGTTGTTAAAGCTTTGAACTTCAGGGAGAAGAACTGTTGCTTAAAACACAAACACAGCAAAAGCATCCAAACTGTTAATTGTCAGTAACAATGCAGCTAAAAATTAGTGTTGGCAGGAGCTGCTTTTGTTCCCTCTTTTTGGTTTTAACATAATCAGCTGTTCAGGAGTTTGGTTTCTCTTCTACTCTTCCCCCCTCGCCAAATGTATGTTAAAGTCACTGACTGTGTTCTGTTCAAACATAGGCTTATTGTATGCAATATATTTCAATGTAACAACATTAAAATCTGTCTTCAGATTTTTCACACTGCTTAGAAGTTCCCTTGAGTCCTTATATCTGAAATGAGGCTCTGACATTCCAGAAGAGACTTAAATTTTCTTTTTTTTTATATGCTGTGTCTATAACCAGTGAGTTCTTTAGATAGTTGTGCTAGTTTACTAAAGCATTTTGTCTTTTTGTCTCTTTATGGGTGAGCTTAAAGGTCACCACCGGAAAGAAGTGCTTTATCTGCTTCTGAGTTGTCAGGCTTTTCTATTTTTCTTCTTTTTTTGCCAGAGGAGATGAAATTATTCTACTGGTGCTGCCTTAAGCCACCGATGAGGTTTGTTTTGACAATATTCTGATCTCTGTGAAGTGCAGCATTTGCCAGTCCATCAGTAGAATGGCAATGAGTAATCGAGAAGCTCAACACTTTGTCTTCAGTTTCTGTAAAGGCAGATGATTTTATTCAGTCATAAGGCCCAGGTATCCTCCAGAGTAGAACAGAGCACATGTAAACCTGGATTTTTGGAAGAAGTCAGCCATGTTTCTTCTTTCATTTCTTCTAGACCATTTGTATGTGTGTCCTTCAAACTGAAAGCTGTACTAATCCTTCACAACAATATAGCAGGAGCTGTGAAGGGAAGGTTCAGGTGGCATCTCTATTGTATGTCCTATTTGTGTTTTATTATTGCACAGATGTAAAACTTGATCTGTGCTTTGTGGCTCCTGCATTTGTTTTGGAGTCATCTTTGGGCTGCCCCATGGGCTATGTGCCACTGAGTAAATAATTGCATCCTCAAGGGAAGAGAGATATATTTGGCTGAGGCTAAATGGTGCTTAATGGGAAGATACTTCTTCCCGTTCTTCCCTGTGAGGGTGGAGAGGCACTGGCACAGGTTGCCCAGAGAAGCTGTGGCTGCCCCATCCCTGGCAGTGTTCAAGGCCAGGTTGGATGGGGCTTTGAGCAACCTGGTCTAGTGGAACGTGTCCCTGCCCATGGCAGGGCGGTTGGAACTGGATGATCTTTAAGGTCCCTTCCAACCCAGACCATTCTGTGATACGTTGCATGAGCTGTTGACACTCTCTGAGTGAAGTACAGTGATAACAGTTTAATCTGGTCATGTTTTAACTTTTTATGTTTCTTTACATCTTTCTGGGTACTCAGCTTCTGGTTTCTTTATTCCAGTAGAGGAAGAGCTAGCTTCAGTCAGTGCTGGCTTCTCTTTTGGTGAAATGCAATGTAAAACTTTTTCCTTAAATCCCCAGACAGCACAAAGGCCAGTGGAAAAAGAGTTGTAGGAGATGTGGCATACAGCACAGCAAAAGAGAAAGCTTCCTACATCACACCTGTTCCTGGTGGCGTTGGGCCTATGACTGTGGCCATGTTAATGCAGGTATGTGGTCATCTCCTCTACGTTTGCTTTTGGAATATGTTGCTGGTAACCACCAGCATGCTACCAAGGCAACTGGTGCTTCCTTCTTGCTCTTACAGAGGTCTAGTTAGGATTTCCAAGTTCTAGTCCAAACACTTTTGATTCAGTTAACTGAGGAAGAAGATGGACTTTAAGGAGATGTTAGGACAGAGGGGTTTTGGTTGTTTGTGGGGTTTGTTTTTTGGGTTTGGGTGGGTTGGTTTTTTTTGGGGGGGGGTGGGGTGGAGTGTTTTTTGTTTGTTTTTTTGACAGGGAAGTGGGTTGAGGGTTTTTTGAGCCTGGTCTCAAAACAGTGAGAAATGGGCTTGTCTTACAATGCTCTGGCTGTGATTCTAAAACTGTCTGTAGGGTTGTTGGATAAAAAGGAGAGTAATAGTATAAGCCAGCTCCCAGTTTACTGCTTTGCTTGAGAAACACTGCTGGCACAGAACACTCCAAAAAATCGAGCACACTTCAATATGGATAGGTAGATGGATAGGTGTGGTGGGTTTTTTCTTTGTAAGAAAGCTATGAGCAGAATCTCATTCTGGATTATTAGCAAATGCTTTAATCAAAGTACTTTGTGTTAATCCCAAACCGAGACACATGGAGGGGGGGGAACCTTTCTGAGTCTCATTGTTAACTAGAATGGTTCAAAGAGGCAATTCCTATAATGCCTTCTCATGTTCATTTTAGAGCACAGTGGAGAGTGCACAGCGTTTTCTGGAGAAGTTCCAGCCTGGAAAATGGAACATCCAGTATAACCAGCTTACCCTAAAGATGCCAGTTCCAAGGTAAAGCTTCCAAATGAAGCCACTGGCAGTATTCATGCAGAATAATATTCACTTTTGTTCCCAAGCTTTGTGTAATATGAGGCATACATATATGTAGACTGTAGCTGGCATTGAAGTTTGGAGAGAACAAGAGAGAAAACTCTGAGGCCTTCCTAGGGGAGCAGAGCTAACTTGCAGTGGTGCTGTGACATATGTTGAAGTGTAGGCTTGGGTCATCCTGATAATATTAAGCCATAAACATGGACTTCCACAGACTTCTTAGATCAGATAGATAGTTTCTGATTCAGCAGATAGCAAGACACTTAGATTTTGGAAAATTTTCAGTTTCACATGGCAAATACCTGGCATCTGGAAGTAGCAGTTGTTGGTGTCAAGTCCCCAAAGAGCAGTTGAAATATACAAATACCATAAGGGAGCATAACATATTGCCTACAAAAAAGGTATTCTTGGTGGGGGGGAGGATTGGGGGATGGCTTTGTTGTTTAGTTTGTTGGTGTTTTGTCTATTCTAATGTAGCCAGTATCAGTGGGATTGTTTCATTTAACTAGGAGTTAAAGCTTCCCTTTTAAAATACAGACTAGGTGTTTGTAGTTTATGCTGTCCAGAAGCAGGGAATTTGTGAGAAGTCTTTGACTTACAGATTTATCTTTCTTTCTTTAAGTGATATTGAAATATCACAGTCTTACATACCCAAGCCCATTGATCAAGTTGCAAGAGAAGTTGGCCTGCTCCCTGATGAGGTGGAACTCTATGGCCAAACTAAAGCCAAGGTTCATCTGTCAGCTCTGAAACGGTTGAAGAACCAGCCAGATGGCAAATACATTGTTGTTACTGGGTAGGTATTTCTTTAACTGAGGTATTACTTACATGATGTCAAGGTGAAAAGAAATTTTATTAGCATGGCATGTTGTTCTGTTACTGTCTTTTGGAAAGGTGACTCTATGGGGTGCTCTGGGTTTTAGGAAATCACACTGTGAAAATCTAGATTTATCTCTTGTGGCAAATCGTGGGAATGTAGTTTAACATTTCTCTCCTGGAGATTAATAGTTTTGGTATGCATGTCAGGGTTATGAAGGGCAGACTGGATTGCAGTCAGAGTTCTCCTGGTCTAGTAACCTGCCTAGAGTGGTAACTAGCAAATTGTTTCAGGGGAAGGTCTTCAGCAGTTAAGTGATAATTTGCCAATCTCATTCCAATTTCAAACTGATGAAGATAAGCTGAAGTCTGAGCCAACCCAGAATTTGAATTGGCATTAACTGCAATTGCTAGGTGACTGTTTTAGCCCTTTAAGTGTTTTGAATCTCACCCACTACAAGGGTTTGGTTGTGTCTGTTCTGCTTTTTCACTGCAGGATAACTCCTACTCCCCTGGGAGAGGGGAAAAGCACCACCACTGTCGGTCTTGTTCAAGCCTTAGGAGCACACCTTCACCAGAATGTCTTTGCTTGTGTTCGTCAGCCTTCTCAGGGGCCAACCTTTGGTATAAAAGGTATCAACTGTTCTGTTGCTTACAGCTCAACTAAAAGGGAGAAGATGGAATTCAGAGGTTTCATTCTACTGTGTAATTGCCAGTTAAAATTGCATTTCCTTTTAAGAAAATAAAACCTTTTCTTCAGCATTGTCTTCAAGTGCTATGCTGGGATATAAACTAAGCTGCTCAACAGTAGCTGCTGCCTTAAAGCCATTAAGCAAACACGTAGTACCATTCTGGACTGGGGAGACCTTTATTTGCATGATTTGACTATTGTCTCTCTCTAGGTGGAGCTGCAGGTGGCGGCTATTGTCAAGTGATCCCCATGGAAGAGGTAATTCTTTATACAAAGCCTCATTGTACATAGAGCTCACAGACCTTGAAGAGATACTGCTGTTGGATAGCTTACAAAATCTTTGTTTATGGCCCAGTGTAGCACTCCCAGGAATGCTTCATTTCAGCAGTTTTATATTTGTTTGTTTGTTTGTTTTTTAATGTCTTTGGTTGTTTCAGAAGGGTGCCTGCATGGTCAGGGAACTTCACAGAACTAGGAATTCCCAGCTTTTCTGTTCCTTCCCCTTCTCTGCCTTGAATAGCTGTATACACTTGAGAAAAGTACATCCTGTGCCTCTTTTTCCCAGCACTGAAATTAAGGTGATAATGATGTAATACGTTTTGGAAGCATATTAAGTAGTTCTGTCAGCAGCAGTGGTCACCGACTCTTTCTGTGAGCTATTTTGGTGTACTTCTGGTTTAGATTACTAACATGAAATGGGAAAAGGGAAGTTGGTAATCAGTAATGGCAAGACCTCAGCCTGTGGGGGACTGGCACTGCAGAATATTTCTGATGCGACTTGGCAGCAAGTAAAATCCCATGTCTGGGGGCAGGGAATTGAAAGGCACGTGTAGCACGTGCTCTCGTGCTTCTCTCAACTCTCAAAGTAATTGCCTGTAGAATTCTACCTTTGTCTTGTGCACTATAGATTGACACAGGGCAATTTTAGGAAGAAAAGCAGAAATGATCAAAAGGGCTGTTTGTTCCAATTGATGCAGCAAGTCCATAAAAGATAAAAATGTTAAGGAGGCAGAATACTGATTTAGTCAGGTGCCAGGAACATGTGTGAAAGATAGATGTGACAGGGAAAATAATCTCCTCCTCTTTGGGAGTGTTAATAAGATGAGTCAAAATACTTCACTGTGTGCAGCAGTGGGAAACAGCTCCACTCTTGGAACGAAACTGGCTGAAAGGACTTTCTTTAAGTATGACCCACGTGGTATAAATACAGAGTTTTGTGGGGGTGTTTTAATTGATGCATGTCTCATAAAATTGAAGTACCTGGAGTCACTAGTTACACTAATGACCTTGATCCATCACTGGATATTTCTGGATGCAGCTTTCATCCTAGGAAAATGGTAGCAAACGGAAGACTTTTCAGGTCATACTGCAGAACCAAGGTAGTAGTATGGCTTCTTGGTGCATGTATGTAGAATGAGACAATGATTGGCATTTACTAATTAGGATTTTTAATTACTGTGTGTGACTAGCTACATTCTGCTTTTAGCTATCTGGTTTTTAAGACCACAGTAGCAAGACTGCCGTAAAATGATATTTTGAGGTCTTTCCTCATATCACCTTTTCTGATGTCCCTTTTTCATCTTCTTCCTTTGCTGCTCTGCTACAGAGGAAGAGTATTGTTTTAACCACACCTTTTACTCCCCTGCCATAATGCAAGTTTATCACAGAAGCTGTATGTCCCAAGCCATTTGTCAGCGTAGCTACAGTGCAGGTAGATAACTCATGTAGGCAAACCCACTCAAACTTATCTTTTAATGAGATAGAACCAAGAAAATCATTAGCAGTGTCACTGTGTAGTACGTGGTCTACAAGTTCTGCCTATATGATACTATGTGTTTGAGTGGTTAGCTTATGCAGAGCTCTGTGGAACCACAGCTCTACTGCTAGCACTACACAAGGTTGCTAGTTTCAGTTTAGCTCAGATATCTTTGTGGGAGCAGCAGCAGCAGCTTCAGTTAATGTATGTGTGAAACCCATTTGTGCAAAAAAAGAGTGGGTCAGAAGGAAGGTGAAGGAAGAGCGAAGCAGACGTGCCATATCATGGTCTTCTCAGGTGTCAAGGAGCCTGTGAGAACTATTCTCATGGAAAACAAACCAACCAATCTCAAACCTTTTTAATTGGAAGCTTTGTTCTGGAAGTTTGTAAATGACATAAATGTGGGGGAGGCTTTTTTCTGTTTTAGAGGAATTCTTTCCTCTCTTCCATATACTGCACTGAGCAATCTCTCCCCCTCCATCCTCACCCACTTTAACATTACTGTTAATACTTCTCTTTCCATCTGTCTATGGTGCACTGAAATAAATGAAAATTGCAGCAGGATGAGGTAACTGATATGTTTTATCTCCTCTAGTTTAACCTTCACCTCACTGGTGACATCCATGCTATCACTGCAGCCAACAACCTGGTTGCTGCTGCTGTCGATGCACGTATATTCCATGAGCTCACTCAGACTGACCAGGTACGATCTTTTCTTAGGGTGTATTTGAGCCCAGCCCACTTTGGCCAAGATGTTTTGGCTGTGCCAGCATTGCTGATTAACTACCTGTTTCATTATGCAAGGCTCTCTACAAGCGTTTGGTGCCTTCTGACAATGGTGTTAGGAAGTTCTCAGACATTCAGATCCGAAGACTACAGGTAAATTCACCAGTTTCACATTCGCTTCTGCTTCTGTTCCTTTTAATCATCCTTGATGTAGGCAGAACTAGGTTACAGAAACCCTCCTGTTGTCCTCTAGATCATTGTGCTTGCACTTTATTTTTTACATAAAGTGTGCAGAAATGTAATAGCCCTTTCTACAGCACAGAAAACTGAGATGCAGCCTGAAGGGGAAGAATCATTAATGTAACTATCATATGCTGATGAATAACACAGTGGGAAGAGGCAAAGGGATTAGTGCCCTTTATTAATGGTGTCTGTTCAGTGTCCTTAATGCAGTTAAGAGAGGACCAAGCTAGAGATGAATAGTTCCCATGTGACAGCTATGTAGATAATGCAGCACAAAAAAAAAAAAAGGCAGTTTATAAAATTCAGCAAAAGGAGAGTATAGAGAATTTTTTGTCTTATCCAGACAGGGAAAATGGGGGAAAGGGGCAATGTAGGGGACAGGTATTTTTTCCCCGCTCCTCTTATTCCAAAAAAAGAATTCCCAGTTAGATGAGTAGCCCTGTCATTGAATGGCAGACCCTGAGCAGACCACAGCTCCTCTGATCCTCAGAAATTAATGTCAACTAGTATGTGTCCCTGACTTCCACAAAAATGAAGATAACAGAGGAATAGCTTTGCTTTGGGCTTGGACTTCCTGGCTAGGAGGAAGGACTGGGGCCTGCTCAGGTCATTGAAAGTACAAACCTGTTTGGACAGTATTCAGGCTGGATTAGTTGTCCATTTGGAAGTCGGGAGCAATAGTCAGACTATATAGGAAGCTGCAACTCTGATTTATTAATTGGCTGTAATGTCTTCTCCGTTAGAGAATGTGTGGCTTGCTTCTACTGCTGAGCAGAGAAGCTATGTCATGTTGCTTGGTGTTCCTGATGGACTGCGGCGAGAACTCTAACCTAACCACTCTTATGGTTATTAAATGTTGAGATGTGAATGGAATGCCAATACTCCAGGGGGGGGGGGGGGGGCAGGGGTTGTTTAGTTGGTTTTGTTTTGTTTTTTTCCAAAATGATGATCTTGAAGAAGAGAACAGACTTTCTTCCTCCCTGCTGTTCTTCAGAAAAATACATGTTAGCTGTCTACTTAATTAAAAAAGCTTGCTCGTTCATAAATGAGCTCAATCCTTCTCCTTATTCTTATGCTTGTGCTTGTATCAGACTTCCTGAGATAATTCTTCTTTCAATTAAGCAACTTGGCAAACTGCCCATCCTCTCAGTATGTTCAAGATCAGCTTTCTGGGATGCTGACAGCCTTGTGACTGAATTGTTTAATTCCTCCTTTGTGCTGCTTAACCAGCATGCTGAAAGCAGTGTCTTCAAATACGTATGGCTGTGTGCAGTGACCCTAGGCAAACTAATGAGAAATGGATGTAAGCATGTGAGACTAATGATTAGAACAAGGCATGTAAGAACTGCAGAGCTCTCTTACTCTTTCTGTAGATGCTTTGCACAAAGCATGGAAACAACCTGCCCTAATGAACTCTATTGTCTACCTTGCCCTTTACTAGCTGGCCAGCAGCAAGCTCTGCTTCCAGGTACACACTAATGGATCATCTTACGTTGTTGTGGAGTCTTGGAGAAGGGGACCAAAAAGGCAGCTCCTCCTTATTTCTGAATATGTGGATGCTGCTGCTGAAGGCTCATTGGTCTAGTGAAAAGTTAATTTCTGTGAATCTTTTCATTATGCCTTTCTTTTATTTGTCCTTTCCTCCTGTAGAAATTGGGCATTAACAAAACTGATCCTATGGCTTTGACAAAGGAAGAAGTCAATTTATTTGTGAGATTGGACATTGACCCAGGCACCATAACATGGCAAAGAGGTACAAAAGCCATTAAATAAAAGAATTGTCAAGAAACAAAGTGTGTGTCAAAAAGACAGGTGTGCAAGTGCAGCAGGAACTGTGTTTCCTGGAAAAACGGGAAAGAGGGCAGGGCTGATCTGTCCTTTCAAGTGTTCGATGGGATAGATGCTTGCAGCTGGGATCCCATTTCTAAAGGGTCTGATACACAGACCTTGAATCCACTCTGAATTCACAAAGATTAAGACTTCACTTATTGGTGCAAGTTTGTGTTTGTCAGTCACTGAGAGAGTTGAGTTTGGCAGCTGTAGCCAACAGCCTTTTAACCTGACTGAGAAAGCTCTGTGAGCAAGGAAGTGTTCTGCTTTGGGATTAAACTCAGGTTAATCTGCCCACTTGCTCTTTGGGGGACTGACAGCAAATAAAGGCCAGGTTTTTAAAAGGTTTTTAAAGATCCTTGAAGATAAGATCAATCTCTGATCTGGCAGATTTAGTATTTCATTAGCAAAAGAAATTTCAAATATGGAAATTTCTTTCTGATTTAGACCCTGAGAGTATTGCTTTTTCTCCTTCTTATTAAAATAGTGTGAAATGTATTCTCCAGAATTTGCTTCATAACTCGTGATGGGGCTCAAGTATTCTGCCTCATGGGAAATATTTTTTAAAACACTTAAAAATTTTTCAAGCAGATAGTAAGAGACAGCAAATTTAAGCCAGTATTTGACAGTTTGGTTTCCAAGGTAATTTGAGCTAATGGGGCTGTGTGAAACTATTCTCACTAGGTAAAGAATAGTCAGAAACTACAAGTGGTAGTATCGGACCATTTTATCACTTAATTTTAAAAACGATAATTTTATTTGACTGTAATAATTTCCTGGTTTCACATTGGTTAATGATGGTGAAAATGCAGTTGGAGTAATACTAGCAGCTCTGCTTTTCAGAGAGGCTTTGGACTTGTCTCAGTGCATGCAGAGGGTCATAGACTCCTTCTGAATGTGGTGCAGGGTCTGCATGTGGCTTTGGGTGTCTTAACTGCAGTTTAATCTGGGGGAAGAATCAGGTTGAGTAGCATTTGTCATTCTGTAGGAGAGGATGGTATGTCAAACTGCTATCCTTCCTTCATAGTGATCTAGCCAAGTGTTTATCATAGGGCATAGATGTGACAGGACTTGCAACGTGACTTCTCATCTTTCTCTCTGCATTCCTCACAGTACTGGATACAAATGACAGGTTCCTTAGGAAAATCACTATTGGACAGTCTCCAACAGAACAAGGCTTTTCACGGACGGTAATTATTCCCTTTTGTTGCATGTTTTAAATACTTTGAAAAACGTGGTCCTAAAGCAGGTTTCTATAACTCCAGATATTTCCCTTTTTTACCAACATCTTGTTAAAGGAAAGCAGAATGTCCCTTCAACCAAGCATTTAAATTTACTGCCAGTGCAGTATTTGGTGTTATTGTTTGTTCTCTCCTTCCCTGATCTCTCCTGAATGTTGGTTTCCCAAACTGGGATGGCTGTGGCATAGTAAGTAGTACACGAGTGCCCTCTCTAAAGATGATGCTTGGCAATGGCTAATCTTTACCATTGAATATACTTTGGGTGGGATGTATCTGACCAAAACTAGGTATAGTATCTGCGCTAGTTGTGTGGATTCATTATATAATCAATAGAGGAAAACAGGCAATCTGGGCTGTGACTCCTCTCATCCCTTAAGTAACTGTCAAATTAATAGTTCAAATTTATTGTGCTCAGAAAAGCATCTTTCTATTGACTTGAAATGTCCCTTGGGTGCTTAGCTTTGACGGAGGTGTCTGCGTTAGATGTCAGATGAATTCTACCCTTCATTTCCTATAGAATCTTTTTTTTTTTTTTTTTTTTTGTCATGTACTGTACTGTTTAGTGGTAGTCAGATGAGTTAATACAGTCTTCAAAAATATAGTTTGCTAGTGATAAGCATTCTTACATGAATCACTAATGTATGCACCAGGAGAGAGTCATGTAATAGTAATAGAATAAGTAGTTTTTACTTAATTTTGCAGGAAAAATTAAAATTAAATGAAGTATGTTCTGAGAGTAATGTAGCTTTATTTTTACAATTTATTTTTTTTTTTTATGATGGTGGTGATTGGCCTTGTTTTAGGAATTTAATGGAAGTAAGGACTGCTGCTAGGGAATCTTAATGAGCTCATGTTCTTTATTGATCTCTTGCAGGCTCAGTTTGATATCACAGTGAGCAGCGAAATCATGGCAGTTCTAGCACTCTCTGATGGGCTGGACGATATGAAAAAGCGACTGGGAAGAATGGTGGTGGCTTCCAACAAGAAAGGAGAACCAGTTACAACAGATGACCTTGTAAGAGAGTCATTCAGCTTTTAAATGCTTTTTCCTATTACTTCTGAAAGTCCATGGATTGAAAAGCATAGAGACAGTTCTGTACAGAAAAGACCTTAGCATATAGAAGATCAAAGATGAAGTCTTAGCCCCTGGAGTTAATGAAGGTTTTTTACTTCATTGTGGCTAGCACCTTACCCAGTGAGTGTGCGTGTGAGCTGTGTGTCCTGTGCAATGTGCTGTGTGTCAAGTTGAAGCTAGCCCCATAGGAATTAATGGGGAAATACATGGTGTCTTCTTGATAGAAAGTATATTTATGAATCAGGAGAATTCAAAATGCATCCTGCTGGCCATCCTGTTTCTCAGACTCCCTGGAATAAGGAAAACGAAGCCTCATGCAAATTTTATTATATATTATGAAATATCTTATTCTGGGAGGCTGTGAATGCTAAAAAAGCTAAACCCTTTGCAGAAAGTGCAAGGTCTCCATATGGCAACCTTTGATGAGGGACCTTTTATTTCCACTGTATGAAATGCTAAATGTAGTAGCACAGGTGATGTCTATTGCCAGTATGTAAAGCAGACCTAAGCAGCAGTTGCAGCTGTCCATGCAAGACTTTAGTAGAGTTCTTGGCATGTTTTGGAGTATGTTGATGAGCACTTTCACAAATGGTGCTTCAGTGTGATTTCAGGGGAATAGCCTGTGCCCCAGACACTTGTAATAAATGTTTGGAAGATGGCAACCCTGTTTGGAGAATGGAAAGCGAACCAAGCCCTGTAGGTTCAGCCATGCCCTGCTAATTGGCTTAAAGGCAGAGAGCAAGCTCAGCACTGTTGCAGTAGTCAACAGAGAAAGGATATTGGTAGTCAACAGAGATATGATATTGGTGCTTACTGCTGTCCTGTATAGTAGGTATTTCACAGCCTCCTGTGCAAAAAATAAGAGTCTTACAAATTTGTATGTTATGGTGTTAATGAGGTTTGGTTTGCATTTTCTGAATGAACATTTCCATGGGACAGAAGAATCCACAGGGTGCATAGCCTGACCTGTTACCAGCAAGGTGTGACACAGCACTAACGCCTATCCAGCTCTTGCTGTCTTGCTGTGGAGTTTTTGTTGTGTGTTTGGGGTTGGTTGGCTTGTTTGTTTTACTTCCTCCCAGGATAAGCCTAAGAAACAGTATATTGGCAATGTGGCCTGATTCTGGCCTTGCAGGAAAGGGCTAGGCTGGGAACCATTTGGCTGTAAATGTCTTTATGTGAGGCATTTGTGGGGCATGTGCTGAAGTTCTGTAGCCAGCTTTGATATTTTAATTCCTGCTACAAGCATGCTGCCAGTTTATCCTTAATTACCAGAGTTAAACCCTGTTCTAGAAAACAGGAGTCTCTCCTGCTGCCCATCTGCAGTGGAGGCAGGTGGTGCTTGGGTAGCGAGTTGCTCTGAGTTTTATGTAGAGGCCAGGTGACAGAAGGCTAATCTTAAGACTTTTTTTCTACTTTAAAAAAAAACTTAATTATATTTAGTTTTGTCCATAGCAACTGCAGAATGGAGGATGGTGTCAGACCT